ACATTCTGGATGTTGACAAATCGGTAGGGCCCAATATTCTATGGATACAAAATTTAAATTTCAGTGCAGCTTTTTTAGGGGATGTCGTCTGCCTTCAATCGAGCGGTGTGATATGCAGTGACGTCAGAGCAACGCCTGAAGAATTATAGCTCCTGACAGCTTTCACAAGTCAACTAACAATGACATCTTTGGGGACCTAAAACTTAATCAAAGATTATTTAAATCATACACCCCTACTTACATTTGAACTTACAATGAGCTGCTGCATATTCTGACTATCGCTAGCGGTTATTTTATAACATCCGTGTCCTACATACTTGACTTGATTTTCAAAATTGTGACGCGATCAAACTTCATGTGACCTATTTTTTAAGTGTGAACATTCATAATATCATGTTGTTTAAAATGCAGAACTCAGGGGCAATGCTTTCCTATCTCACAGGAGCAAAAACAAAGTTTTTTCTTCTGGCGTGGTACACAGGGGCGGATCCAGCATATCTTCAGGGGAGGCACGCAACATTGTGGGGCCCTGGAGTTTGGGGCCCCCTTCAAACAGTATCCTTGCATTTCGGTCATTACATTTTAAGGCAAGTCGTATATATATATATATATATATATATATATATATATATATATATATATATATATATATGTGCGTGTGTGTGTGTGTGTGTGTGTGTGTGTGTGTGTGTGTGTGTGTGTGTGTGTGTGTGTGTGTGTGTGTGTGTGTGTGTGTGTTTGTGTGAATGTATATATAGGTATATATATATATATATATAAATGCGTGTATACATAGCTATATGTGTGCTTATCAATTTATTTAATAACTACTGAAACCCATCTTACTGTGCAAAGCCCCATAAAGTTATTCGTGCTACGCATGCATGCATGTAGGGCTCACTTAGTTTCTACAGATCACTTTAAATGCTGCGACTTCGAGGCCAAGTGTTTCGGAACAACGGGCAAAATAAACATGAGTTGGCTACCAACAACCATCGAAACAAGCATGGGCTCGATTCCTAGCTTATGCATTTACGGCTAGCCGGCTGGGCGATGTAATCAGCTGATGGTTGATGACTAATGCATCATTTTCCCTTTGTTATAAGGGAGTGTGATATTTCCAAGCATTCAAAATATGCCAAGAACGTGATGCACTAGTATAATAAGTGTCACACACTCGATAGCCAATGGAAATGACATACACGACGTCGGCTGCATGTAAAATTACGTTCGACAATTGCCCGCAAATATAAATCGTCGCATCTTCGACTGCTGGTCTAAGACGGAGACACCAAGACCAAAAGGGATGGAACCTGGGCAATCATAGGTGCCACAGGAGGCCAACAAAGTGGCTCTCCTTAACAAGTATAAGGTGCCCAGGGCAAGTAAAAAGAACCCAAGACCAACGTGGTGTGCCCCTAAACGATTGGTAGGGCCTCAACAGGCTGAAATACAAAGCCCCGGCTATAACACAGGACCCTCCGAGCAAAGGGGAATTATCCAAGACCATACATGAATATCCCTGTGCGATCAAGAGTGTACGGGCAGGTTAACATGCGCCCGGGCGGCCGGATAAATTCCCTTCACGTGGCTTGAGGTCAATTTGACCCCCCGAGATCTCAGGAACTGAGAAAGCTAGATATACCAAATTTGCAGGGTGAGTTGACCTGTGCCTGAGTTCACTTAGACCAAAGTTGTAGCTAGGTCATGACCTCTACGTCAAGTAAGGTCAAACAAAGTCAAACTCCAGGTTGGTCTTCAAGTGCCCCAGAACCTAGACAACTGTTTCTAAGCAAAAGGCTGCATGCTCATTTAAGGCCAGTGACCTTGTTTGACTTTTTGGAGGTCATGGTGACCAAAACCATACAAGACTGCTCTGGGTTTTACAGCTGAATAAGCGCTTAAGGCTACGCTTACGCAATATGTTTCTAAAAACAAAACGTTGACCTGGGTTATTTTAGGTCAATGACCTGTTCTAACCACTAAGAAATTCGTGGAAAATGTATAATGCTGTTCCTGATATTAATATATTGGAAATGAACACCAGAAACTATCCCATACAGCAAGCCCTAGAGTGTTCAAACAAGTTGGTTTTGACCTTGGTCTGACCTTTATAGCTGATCTTAGGTCAACGTGAATTGCTTATTCAATATTTGTGTTGCCTAAGAAAGCATCTCAGAGATGTATGATTCCGTCTAGCATTCCGTTGTTGCATCGGATTGAACGATTCCCTAGAAATCGACTTCGCTGAAACCATGCCCTAAATTTGACCAGCCATAGACTAGCGACCTTACAAGGCACATCTAATTTTTTATTTCAAACATTCCATTATTCAATTGTCTACAGCTATGCAAAATTGGGCGTGGCTACGGCGCGCCATTCGGAAGCCATTTTGGAAAAACTTTCGGGGAGTCAGTTTGACCCTCACCCGAGCGCGTGTTAACAACACGAGCCTCGATAGGAGTTAAGAGTCTTCCGAAAATGGGACCAAAGCGAAAGAGCCCTCGAGGAAAGTAGAGGGCCCCTGGGCATCGAGTGTCTCCGTGCCTTACCTTACAAGAGCCCTAGCAACAGCACAAGGTCCTCCAAGCAAGTGAAAAACCCCGGGAACTATATGAAGGGCCTCTGAGCCACTGATTGTGCCCTGGCATATGGGACGCCGGAAAAGTGTGTAGAGCCTTTAGGGTAAATGGGAAGAATCAGTGGAGGAAAACCTGATCGATCAACAGTGCTTAGGCATGGAAGCAGAAAGCGTCCCAACAGCACATTGGACGCTACGTGAACATGCGAGGAGATCAATGGCAACGCGAAAAGTCCCTTAGCGATCAGATTGACCGACAAATGGTCATATGGGACTAGACAACCAACAGCGTAATGGCTCTAGACAGCGTAATGAGCCCCAAAATTTCCCCCAAGTAACACTTTCTCAATCAGCGAGCAATGAGCTTTGTTTGCTTATGAACTCTTTACTTTTGCTAACAATGGTTCTTGGTTGTTTGTAGGCTTAACAGCATCCAATTTTGTTATGTTTTGTTGTAAGAAAGCTGCAGCCGTCTGGTCGGTTATGGGCCCCTTCGGAGCCATTGGGCCACCGACATGGTCCATGGGGCATGATCCCGTGCCCTCCACCCTCTGCATCCGCCACCGGCCCGAGCAGCTGAATAGATGGGGCCCGCTAAGAACATAGGGTCATCTATTCAAATAAGAAATGCTCACGACGCAACGTGTAGGGCTCTGAACGATCCAGTGCGTCAGAGCAGGTAAATATAAAGGGCCCCCATCAGGAGCGCAGGGCCCTCTATTCAGATAGGAAGTATTCGAGGCCCAATGTAGAGGGCCCCCGAATGATCGAGTGCGCCCGAGCAGGTTAACAGATAAGGTTCCCCAAAAGAGCGTATGTCCCTCCATTGAAAAAGGAAGCACTCAAGACCTAACGCAATGGACCCCCGAATGATCCAGTGCGTCAGAGCAGGTTAACGTATAGGGCCCCCCTCAAAAACGTAGGGCCCTCCATTCAGATAGGAAGTACCCAAGAACCAATGTAGAGGGCCCAAAAAAATCGAGCATGCCCGAGTAGGTTATGCAACAGGGCTCCCAACAAGAGCGTAGGGCCTCCATTCGAATGGGAAGCACCGAAGACCCCAGTTAAATGGCCCCAGAATGATGGGATGTGCCCGAGAAGCTTATTAGAAGGGGTCCGACAACAGAGTAGGGCCCTCCATTGAGATAAGAAGTACCCAAAACCAGTGTGGAAGGCCCCCGTAAGATGGAGTTTACCCGAGCAGATTATCAGGTGGCCCAGACAGGAGTGTAGGGCCCTAAATTCAAACTCTAAGACCCAATATATAGAGCCGCCGAACAATCCAGTGTGGCCGAAGCGGCGAGCAGATGGGGTCCTCGATAAGTGTGTCGGGCCCTCCATTCAGATAGGAAGCATCCAAGATACAGTGCGGCGGGTCCCCGGATATTCAAGTGTGCACGAGCAGATAACCAGATGGGGCCCCGGCAAGAGCGTTTTGTTGAGTACCCACTTTTGTTGCGTTTTGGGTTAAAAAAAACGCACTCGCACCGGTTACAAAAAAACACTGCACCGACTGTGGCACCCTCGTAGCCAGTGGACCCCTTCAGGGCCCAAGGGAGGCCATGGCTTCGTGCCTCCCCCCCCCCCCCCCTCTGGATCAGCTCCTGACGGTACATATATGCTCTGTTCTATGCATACATATGACTGTTTTCGCGATGATTACAATCGTGCTTAGTAGGAATTTGTTTAACAGATGCAATATTGCTGATGCAAAAGCCGTTGCCGTCAAGGTTGTTGCACCATAAGGTGACGCAACATTTGATCGTATTATTGGCATAAAAGTGTGCCAATGCGTCAGCCGTAATTGTTTATAAACCCCCCAGTGACACCTTTGCCAGTTGGCCTCCTAAAAACGCCTCTGGCTATAATTCCCTGACCGTTGCACTTATCTATCTAAAAATGGCACAGCTGGATGGCGAGCGTAAAACAACGCTACACTGTTACCTTCAGCGAAATAAACGGATGTGGGCGTGGTTTGGGTTTTTCCACCTGTCGCTCTAACGTGGAATGACCCACATGACGTATGAAATCATTTGACTTTTTACTTTTTGATAATCCGTGAAGAGCTTCGCCGTGGCCCGTGTGCGTTTGTGTGACCCCTCTCTCTGCACCTGTCCTTTCACCTGTCCGCAGCGCTGCCTGCGCCTTGACCTGTCTGGCATCTCTGCGCGCCCCCCCCCCCTCCCCACCCACCCCAGACCGATCCTCTCTTCTGCCCTCTGGCGCCCTTTGTGCGTAACCAATCTCATGTCCTCTCTGCTCTCTCCTACCCTCTCTCCCGCCGCGCCGTGACTCGTCTAACGCCACAAAACCAGCGTGACCGGTTTTGTAGACGGACGGGGAATTTAAAAAGAACAGCCGCGTGTTTTTCCGAGGTCATTCCGGCCCGGTCCAGTGACGCAGCGCGCCAGCCGAGGTCTCCCGGCCGCGGAGAGCACGACAGCGGCAGGCGCAGACAGCTGCTCGACCCCACCCGGCTGCTGCTGCTGCATCGGCACGGTAAGCTGAGGCGATCGGCCTTAAGCAGCGCCCCACGTCTCTCATTGGCATCTGCATGTATGGCAGCATACATCTATATCGTTTGATATGATCAGCATACTCACATCATGCATCATATGATATAGTATATTGCATCATACATGATGTAATATACTCATATCATACTGTTGTCTTCCGTTTTCGATAAATTGGGTCTAAAAATTGCAATGGTTGAAAAACATGTCAAATATTTTTCGTCGAATTAATCCATTAATTCCAAAGTCCTGGTAAATTTTTTACATTTTTCTGCATCGTGTTTTCGTCAACTCAAGTTCAGCATTGCAGTGTGATAAAATGCTAGCAAAGCACGCAACTGCTGGGGACAAAATTGAGCCCCAGCAAATTTGTGTTTTTGGAATCATGAAAAGGCTCATGAAAAATGTTAACACCGATTTAGCTTTATCAATACTCGACCACAAATTGTCCAACGAAGTGATAGAAAATGTCTATAAGTGGCCGAATCGCGATGATAATGGCGCAGAAGACGTTCACGTTTTCCTGGCCATGCTGTTCATGTCTAGCTGTTACGCTGGTTTCGCGGGGCAGCGTGAGACCAGCGTAACAGCGCTTTGCTAGGTCAATGGAAAGGTAACCTATTGATAGTCTTAGGAGGTCTGATGCGATCAGATAGTGCATTTTTGCTGGTTTGCACCATCTACCAAAAGGGCGGGACTTTGCAAGAGCGCGTTAATCGATTTGCATTTAGTTAAAAGTAGATGCAAAATGAAAGAAATTTACTTTCTTGTATTGTGCAGTAATTTGAATTCAGTGCATTGAATGGCTGCATGACCTAACATGATACAAATTCTGTCAAGAAGTGAAAATGTCGGCTCACATCGGACTGTCACAATTTCAATGACAACATTTGAGGGATAGGCTCTTTCTGAGAATATTACGTTGCCATACTTCGACCGCTTTCATGTGTACATGTAGGGTAAACCAAGCCTGCTTCAAACGTTGTTCAGAAATGTACGTTGAATTGCTACCGCGAATAATGTAAGCCCGTAGCTCAGTCTCGATAAAGGCGTACAGTCTCAGTCTCAGTCTAGTCTCGCCCGTAGCTAAGTCTTAACGTTAAATAACACTTCCACCATGTCTTCGCGGCATGCCAGGTTGCACCAGGCCTAGAGATGTCGATCTCTTCCCAGTCTCCCGACGAACAGGGCCAGATAGGATGAAGGAGGGTGTCCTTGAAAAGCTTGGAAACAATAACAACTGTCATGCTGATTTTCCAGTAACTAGCGTAGTGCTGCGTATGCTTACGCACTTTTCTAACGATATCAGACCTACGGCTGTTTTTTGAGTGTCACGCCTAGGTCAAGGTAGGCCAAAAACGTCGATTTATTCTTTTGTATGCGATTTATGGCAACTACACGTGCAAGAATATATATATATATATATATATCTATATATATATATATATATATATATATATATACATTGTAACCAGCATTTCCCGGTATACTATCAGTACACCAGGAGGTGCTGGTTAAACATCGTTATAGAGCAAACTTTAGTTATGTTGTCAATGCTCGACGTTTCAAGCTTTGCTTATGATCACGATTGATCATCAGCACATATCAGGCACAGTCATATGCATGTGACGGGCATGGTCATAGGTATGATAATAACGCACATGTATTTCTCAGAGAAAATATGAGCATCTTATCATCATAATAGCATCCTATCATCATCATATCTGCGATGACAGCAAAGCACAAGGTGCGCAGGCGCTCTCCTTTTTAGAGCGATTTTGATTTTTTTAAAAATCCAGTTTCTCTCTCCCTACCTGTATCCGCGTCCTCAGATCGCCACGTCGATGATAGCAGCCGAGCGCAGAGGTGTCTCTGCAGCCGTCTGCCATGATCACAAGTACGCCTTTGAACGCCCAGCATTGACAATATAACCAATATTTGATATAAAGCGTTGTTTCACCAGCGCCTTTCGGTATATTAGAGGTCGATAGATCTGCATAGCAAGCCTGAACTCGTCATGCAAGGTTTTCTTGCGTTGCGATCCACCACATCAGCAGCATTTTGACGAAAATTGTGCGACCAATTGTTACAAACTTTTTACCCCCCCCCCCCGCCCCCGTAAAAGACAACTTGAGTTAGGTTAGAAAGCTCAGATGATGGTCATTGCATCACTCGTTTCTCCGCCACCGTACTTTGTTCAGTGCGACAGCTACTGGTAAAGTGGCTATGTATAATGCCCTCCAATATAGCGTTTCAACCGTTGTGGCTGTCTCAGTGAGCTGAGAGGCTGTTGCACTATGCTTTTTCATACAAATGCGATGTATTACGGAATTTATGCACCATTTGGCGTGGTGCATTTGCTTTTAAAGGTCTCATTCAGGCTTTAAATTTGCATTTTGAGGGAGAACACACGATTATTTTGTTGCTATCACAAAATAACGTGAGATGGCAGCGAAACACAAACTGCACGGCCACTCTTCTGTAGAAAGCGACTCAGAACAGAAAAACGCAGAGTTTAACTCACACCATGTCGTGCTGAATCATCTCATATAAGGTCTTAAGGTCAGTATTTTTTAAAAAATAAGAACCAATTCTATTCTAAGATGGTTTAATGGCTTCATGCAAGTCCAAAAATGACTGTTTTTCAACATTCCGATTGTATTCGTGCAAAACGTAAAGCACCAAAACCACCATCGCAACAAACATATCAAGAACGTACGAGGCTTTACCTCAGAGCTGCACACCCAGACTCAGCGCATAAGAAGCCCGTCATAAAATATTTGATACAGCGTGGGAGACGAGCGTAATGGTGCCAGTCCACCTGTCATGTCACGGTCACATCAGCGTGATGCGGCCGTGCGGCAGGATCATGCAGCTTCGCGTTAGATTCTTGTTCGCTACCTGCAGTCTCAAACTATCTGCCGCAAGTTGTAGTGTTGGTTTTCGTCGGAGGCCGTAGCTCGCATCGCTAGGCGGAGCGGTAAAAATTAACCATTTAGCGAACATAAGTAGATCAGTAGGTAATTATTCAATTTAAGCAGTTACAAGTAGAAGTCGTGAGGGTAAATAGCACCCCAAATTTATGTTACGGCTCTTGATAAAATGATGAGCTTTGGGATACGTTTATGCAGTTCAGATGTATTGATCTGTAGCGGTAAAATAATGTGGTCTGTAATCGACAAGTAGAATTACGTGAACTGTCTGAATGTTTCGCACCACGCTAGCCAACTATGAGTAAATTACGCAACGCTGCCCCGCCTTGTCATTTAACACACGCTCGGCTGGGGTCAACTTGACCCCTCCGAAGATTTTTCCGGAATGGTTTCCAAACAGCGCGGTGCAGCCCTGCTAAATTTTGCATAACTGTAGAAAATTGACTAGTGGATAGTTTGGTATCAAAAAATTTAGATGTACCTTGTAAGGTCACCGACCTACGGCAGGTCAAAGTCAGGCCATGGATTCAGTGGTCAAGTTCAAAAGAATCTTTCAAACTGATGCAACGACAGAGTGTTAGAGGAAGTCATACATCTCTGAGACGCTCTCTTAGGCAACACAACAATCAAATAAACAAATTTCATCGACCTAGGGTCAGGTATGAAAGTCAGATCAAAGTCAAGACCAACCTGTTTTATTACTCTAGGGCTTGCTGTATGCGGTAGTTTTGGTGCTCATTTCTCATTTATTGATAACAGGAGCCGCATCATACATCTTTCACGGGCCTATTTAAGGCCATAATAGGTCACTTACGTATCATGAGCTAGGTCAGCATTGTGTTTTTAGGAATATACTGCCTAGCGTAGCTTTTGTCGCTTATTCAACTGCAAAACTAAAAAAAGTATTGTGTGATTTTGGTCAGCATGACCTTTGAACGGTCAAACAGGGTCACGGATCTTAAATGACTGTGTGACCTTTGGCTTAGATCAGGTGTCTAGGTTCTGGAGGCACTAGGAGACAGCATGGAGTTTGACCTGGTTTGACCCTATATGACCCAAAGGTTGTGGCCTAGGAATTTCAAACTTTGACCTAAGTGAATTTACATACAGGCCAACACACTCCGTAAATTTGGTGTCTGTAGCTCTCTTAGGTCCTGAGATCTCGGCGGGCCAAATTAATCCCACCCGAGCGAGGGGTATCCGACCGGTCACCCGGGCGCGCGTTAACACGCGCTCGGGTGGGGGGTCATATTGACCCCCGAAGGTTTTTCCAGAATGGTTTCTAAACGGCGCGGCGTAGCCGCTCCAAATATTGCTTTGCTGTAGACAATTCAATAGCGGATCGTTTGGCACCAAAAAAGATGTACCTTGTAAACCCACTGACCTATGAAAGATCAAATTCAGACCATGGTTTAAGCGAAGGCAGTTTCTAGGGAATCGTTCAATCTGATCCAACAACGGAGTGTTAGGCAACACAACAGTCGAATGAGCAAGTTACATTGACCTAACTTCAGGTATCAAAGTCACATCAATGTCAAAACCAACCTGTTTTGTTACCCTAGGGCTTGCTGTATGGGATAGTTTCTGGTACGCATTTCGAGTTTATTGATGGCAGGAGCAGCATTATACATCATCCATGGACTTCTTAGAGGTCAGAATAGGTCATTGACCTAAAATGAATCAGGTCAACATTTTTTTAAGGAACATACTGCTTAGCGTCATCTTTGTCGCTTAGTCAAATGCAAAAGTCAAAGCAATCTTGTAGGATTCTGGTCACCTTGACCTTCAAAAGATCATACAAGGTCACCGACCTTGAATGAGCATGTGACTTTTTGCTTAGTAACGGTTATCTAGGTTCTGCGGGCACTTTGGAGACCAACCTGAAACTTGACCTTTTCCACCTTTTTGGGACCGAAGGTCATGACCTAGGAAGCTAAAACTTCAACCTAAGTGAGTTCACGTACAGGTCAACACACCTTGCAAATTTGGTGTCTTTAGCTTTCTTAGTTTCCGAGATCTCAGCGGGGTCAAATTGGCCCCCACCCCACCCGAGCGAAGGGCATCTAGCCGGCCACGCGGGCGCGTGTTAAGAGGAAGCCAACGCCAGTCCACTGATAACGGATCGAGCTGTATTTACTTTCACTCCAGCTAATGCGGTCAGAGGGTTACAACACTCACCGAGTTGATAGGGCCTGTAGGCAGTTCTTAAGGCAAAAGTGCAATGGCAGCAATCGCATTTACGGATCGTGCATACAAATGAGGCATAATGCAAACGGACTGATTTGTAGGCCTTAAGCTAACTGAAATCCCATTACTCCAGATCCGGGGCGCGCGCTGCTTGAATTGTCTGCACTGCAGGACCTCCGTTATGACTGGAAAGGAGAACAGCCGCAGGGACGTATCTATCACAATCATAAAACGGGGCCGAATAAGAAGTACACAAGTAAAAAGAATGGGCGGATCTCTTCGACCGCGGCACCCAAGTCAATTGCTTTATCACGACGTGCAGTAAAGCGAAAACAGCTTTGCGAGTATACTGTTCGGGGAAAGTGCATTGGAAAGTTAGATGCTTTATTTGCCTCAAGCATCAGTTGCTATAACATTCAAGGTCAATTAGGTATATGTAGTGGTCTAGTCGTTCAGACCTAAATGATAACTCGATGGGATCTACTCGTATCGATTTCAAATCGAGCTTCTTACCATTGGCTGATTCCGCACGAGGACACGCCATGAGCCGATCAGCCAGTATCGGGTAACGGAGTGCGATCGGCTCACTCCGTCGGGAACAGTGGCCGTGACCTTGAAACTGTTCAATTCAGTCTTAAACTAGTCATTTAGACATGCTTTCCGAATTCTAGAACAATGTCAGAGTGACGGATGCGTGCTAATCAGCTGTACGTGCCCATTGCCTTTCACGACTCCCTTTAATGCAACGCCGTGCGCTCCGAGTACCACAACAAATCGATAGTCATTAGGTAAGTCATTAGACAGTCAACAAACAGATAGTCACCAGTGCGGTGCGAACCATTTACCGTTATCACGAACAAGAGTTTTTTCCACTTGCCAGGTTGTTACAGGCAGGCGGAATTATCGTGCCAGACTCAAGACATTTGAAGAGCCGTTCGACCTGAAGCACAAATAAAAAGCACGGCTACAGGTTGAAAAATGGTTCTGACTGTCATCCTCGTCTGGTGTATTGCCATGTTACAGCGTTTCAGCCAGATGGAGTCCTCATAGGGACTCGATGATGTTCAGCTATCAGCCATGTAGGCGTCACAGCCCGAATCGTCTCTTTGGAATTGCTGGAATTCAATCCGGGACCACCAACTGGGTTTACCAACTGAGCTAGCCGGAAGGACAATTGTTGGGAGGATGAGTGAAGGGGCTCCAACGTGAGTCGGCAGACAAACTTCCACTTGAAATAAAGCTACCTTTTTAGAAAGTCCGCAGGCTTATGAGGCCCCACATGGGCAGCAATAATTTTGTAGTTCGAACGACCCTGCTAAACCGCCGCACTTTGTAAATGTCAACAGTTCCTCAGCGACTGGTTGCAGCCCACGCATTTAACAAAATGCATTTTTCTTAGTTGAACCTTAAATTTAAATTTGAACATTTCTTTTATTAATGCATTTGTTTACAGATTGTTTGCACATATTTCATGTTTCTGCTGTGTTGCAATAAAACCAAACATGGTTACCCTGTTTGAAATATCTGGTAAGCATGCAATTAACTCATTACAAAAAATTCGGTACATTCCTGGTCAAGAATTGAATCAAATATCAAAAGTGAAACAAATTGCGTGACAAAATGACGACATCAAGCAGACATAAAACTGATGCCAGTGATCTGGAAAGTACTTGAGGCATGAAAGCTACGCCATTGGACGACAAACGTATAAGATAATGGTTCAAACTAACGTGAGTCGATGTGCGGCAACGTTTGCGTGCTGGGTGCAACAAATGTGTAACCAGCCGCAGGATGTACACGAATGGGCCGCGCATTCCCGAAGTGATGCTCTGTTCGTCTCGAAGATTCGCCAGGAATGTAACAGGAAGTGGTCTATATCACGTTTTTTAAAACCATATCTTTTTCACGCATGGTGGCCTCCCAACATCCCGCGGCAAATGGGAGCTACCTGAATCGGGAGCTTGAAATAGGACAGATTTGACCTGGTACCTGTTTTTGGGATCTGGGAGCCCTGTGTTTGTAATCTGGGAGCCCTGTTTTTGTGATCTGCGAGCCCTGTGTTTGTGATCTGGGAGCCCTGTGTTTGTGATCTGGGAACCCTGTGAATTCTGCGCTGAAGTTGTCATGTCTAGTTTGTATATCCTCAGTTCACTTCACTCGGGAGTATCGATCGCTTTGGCTGATGTCCAAATCGGGCCGAAGTTTCAATAACTACAGTCGATGGCATCTGAAAGCGTTTAACAACACACAGATGTGCCCAAGCCAAGGAGGTTAGTGCGACTAGCAATAAAAAAATGTGGAAAACAGCTTACAAGTTCTGGTACCGGTGCATCTCCTTTCCGCTTTCAAACTCTGTGCATGCATTCCTCAGACCTGTGCATTCGCCAGGCTGTTGTCTCACTTTAAAATAAATTGACCTGGAAACGGTTATCAAGATATTGGCTGCACTTGTGTGTGGCGGCACTAGCGACCTGCGCCGTATTACAAGTCAGAAGATAAGTAATTAAATAAATGAGGTGCCGTGTTCGGAGGTGGTGTTCTACTCCCACTTTAAGTATGAAATCGCTTTGCAATTGGTGCGAATCCATCCTCCGAATGAGTAGGCTGCGCCGGAACACGAGATGTTCGTTGAATCTCCCGGTTTTGATCTCTGTGTTTTTTATGAATCGAGAAGTTTCAAGCCTTGCTTACTTGCGCCTATCAAATGTCTATACAATTCCAGCAGATATCTTGTTCCGTGGCACACAAGCGTACTTTCTGTCCATGTTGGCATTTCTTGTAGGCATGGACATGCAGTGCCGAATGACTTTTGTTGTTTATGCCATGTGCCCTCTATTTCAGGAAGTCTGGTGCAAGCATGAAACTATTTATCATTTCCATGCTGGTGGAGGTGATATTGGCGGCAGAAGAGTGTCAACTAAGGCAAGTCCTGCAATGTTCAAACTTGCGTCTTATAAAAACCATTGAGAAGTAAACAACAGACCCATGTCACGTCAGAGGTGATGTGGCTCAGCGTGATTCATACTGTTTGTTAACAACAGGCTCGTTTTGGGCTGTCCTCTGTGGCAACAGGAATGTTCGCACATTTTACTGGGGCTTTGCTTGGTAGAATTTAAGCACATGTCAACGAGCTGAAGCTTTCATAGGCAGTGAAGTGAGTGAATAGCACTATGATTGCTGAGTGCTGTTCAGGACATCAGATGATTGTAGAGACAAAAAGACATAGGAAAGAGACCTCCGTCACCTCCCAAAAACTGCCCATTTTGTGTGCCAACACTAATGGGTAGCTTTTTAACACTACGCGTTGATTCCTGAAGACAATGTACGATGGGTGAGCTCTCTTCTTCCTCACTCCTTCCTCACCGTGGGTGTCCCTGGCTGGACGCATGCCAGCCCGGCGCCTTGCGCCCGGCATCGGGCCGAGGCCACACATGCTGATGCCCGGCGCTCGGTTCGCAGCGGCCCGTTTCCGTGGACATGGCGCTGCGAAAACGGCGCGTGCGTGCGCCGCGCCGCCGACGAGGTCACAGACGGCCTGACGCTGAACGCGTGCAAGCTGACGTGTAATGACGACTCGATGCTATGGCCGCGGCCAACGGGGCCCTTCAGCATCGGCAACAACACCGTCTCCTTTCGGCTGGAGAGCGTCCGCCTGACGTATCAGGCGCCAGAGGCCGCGCGGGCTTTGCTGGGGCAGGCCGGCGCCCGCTTCCAAGCGCAGCTGGCGGCGATGATGGACGGGGGCGACAGCTGCATGGCCGGCCCCGACGGACAGTCGGACGCGGCGGTCGGCGCCCGGTCCGTCAAGGTGATGGTTGTCGTGGAGGACGGGAACACAGCGCTCACGCTGGACACCAGCGAGTTCTACCAGCTGCTCATCAACCACACGGCCGATGACGAGGTGCATGTGCTCATCTATGCCGACACGTTCTTCGGCGCGCGTCACGCGCTCGAGACGCTCTCGCAGCTTGTCAACTACGACAACGTCAACGACGCGCTGCAGACGGTAGACGCGCCGTGATGATTAGCGACGCGCCCGTGTACCCGGTGCGCGCGCTGACGCTCGACACCTCGCGCAACTTCATCTCGCTGGCCGGTCTGCTGCGCACCATCGACACCATGGCCATGAACAAGCTGAACACCTTCCACTGGCACATCACCGACACGCACAGCTTCCCGATCGAGATCCGCAGCGAACCGCGCATGGCGCAGTACGGTGCCTACTCGCCGCGCAAGGTCTACACGGCCACGCAGGTGCTGGAGCTGGTGGAGTACGCGCGCGTGCGCGGCGTGCGCGTGCTGCCCGAGCTCGACATGCCGGCGCACGTGGGCCATGGATGGCAGTGGGGCGAGAAGGCCGGCCTCGGCCAGCTGGCCGTCTGCCTCGGCAAGGTGAGTCCGGCGGGCGGCAGGCGTGCGAGGCCCGGGGGCTGCACCGGTGCCACGGCACGCGCCGTGTCTGATGCATGGCGCAGATTTTGCGCGGATGCAGTCGGGACGGCCTTCTCTTGTTTGTGGACTGCTCTTGTTTGTGGACTGCTCTTGTTTGTGCACTTCTCTTGTTTGTGGACTTAGCGCAATAACTTGTGACGTGCCTTCTTTGTGACCTATCTGGGCTGGCATTTTTGATTCTTTTATTCATGGCAAGCAGTTGTATTTTTTATAAACTGCCTTCCAAATGTATCACTAAGCATTCAATCGGTGCGACTAGCGCGCCTTTGCCTACCGTTGTTTAACTGTATGTACGTTGCACGGCACGCGTCCCAGTAACGTGAAGCCTTGGATAAGTTTATACCAGACGGTGGTCATATGTGAAGATATCTGCGGCGAACCAGTTACATTATTTCGAACGTGCGTCTGAGAGGAAGGCGACATAAGTGAAGCAACCCTTCTGAAAAACCTTCTACATCCTCGTGCAGGAACCTTGGCAGGAATTCTGCGTGGAGCCTCCCTGCGGTCAGATGAACATCGTCAACGAGAACCTCTTCCCCGTTTTGGAGAAGATATTGATCGAATATAAAGATCTCTTCCAGCCCGACATGTTCCACATGGGAGGTGACGAGGTGAGTAATGACTCAGTTTTGATTGGCTACACACGCGGCTTATCCGTGAGTGCCCGTTATTCTATGTGTATTTTGTGCTGATCTTGCCTGACATAAGGACCTTCCTGCATATATGCGTTGAGGCACAGAGTGCTTGCAATGATTTTATTTGTCAAAATGCGATATCCGTACGTTCCGCAATGCTGGATGGAGCGTACTACGTTGACCACGCTCGTGCTTGTAAGATATAAGCTAGACGCCAAAGCAGCAGATAGTAGCTTACAAACGCCAGGAGCCTTACAAGTACAGTGTGGTCACCAAGCGTTCAAATATTTCTGGACCGCTTGACACCAGATGCAAGCCATGACCTTCATGTACAGTCAGTTATTTCACGGCGCCGGCGACCGTCCGTCAATAACCGTTGGCTGACCATCGCCATTCCGCTACCACGGGTCGATGGAGCTCATTGGTATCGGAGATGCGGCTAGCACAGTCAGCTGCGAGCGGACGCAGATGAGTCGAACTCCGTGCTTGCAGAGCTTTTTTATAAATGCCTGTAAGTATTTGTAATTATACTGCTTTATAAATAAACCCTTTAATAATGATACAAATGCTTTTATACGCACTCTCCGAGTTACGGCATGCCTGTCCGACAAAATCGGCTTCTTTTGTCGCCGCGCATCACGATGGCACCTCTTGTGGCGCAGATCAATCTCAACTGCTGGAAGTCGACTCCGGAGATCGCCGCCCATGTGAAGGCGCAGGGCGGTGACCCGGAGGACGACGAGGAGTACATGAAGCTCTGGATACAGTACCAAGACCGCGCCTACAACATCTGGAGCAACGTTACCGGTAGCTCGATGCCGCTGATCCTGTGGACGTCGCACCTGACTCAGCGGCCGGCGGCCGAGTCCGGCCTCGACCCGTCCAAGTACATCATCCAGGTCTGGACGACGGGCGCCGACAAGGAGGTTGGCCGTCTCCTCAAGCAGGGCTACAAGCTCATCATTTCCAACTACGACGCCTGGTACCTCGACTGCGGCTTCTCGGCCTGGGTTGGCGGCGGCAACAACTGGTGCACGCCCTACAAGAGCTGGCAGACGGTGTACGACAACAGCCCGCGCGCCATCGCGCGCAAGTTCGAGGTGCGCGCCACGCCCTCGGCGTCGCTGCGGCCGTCTCAGGAGGCGCCGGGCAGCGACTTCTCGCGTCAGATCCTGGGCGGCTCTGCGCCGCTCTGGTCCGAGCAGGCCGATGACTCGACGCTGGACCAGAAGCTGTGGCCGCGCGGCGCCGCGCTGGCGGAGCGGCTCTGGGCCGAGCCGGAGACGGGCTACGCCGCTGCCGAGCGCCGCTACGTTCACCACCGGCGCCGCATGGTGGCAGCCGGCGTGGGCGGCCGAGACCGTGCAGCCCGAGTTCTGCCACCACTATGAGGGCAGCTGCTACATCAACAGCTGAGGGCTGCGGCGCTCTGGCAGCTGCCGGATCAGGGACTGGGCGACGCCCGGCGCTCGCCAGCGATGCCCGTGCCCACGAGAGACGCTGAGATGCGACGCCGCCTCGGCAGAGATGGCGGCCAGACGAGAGCCAGCCTGTCAGGCTATGTTCTGCGCTGGACCTGTATGCAAATGGAGAATACATGTTTTGCCACGTCTCGGTGCTGTCTCGTGACGTGTACACTCGAGGGGCACAGTTCTGTGCTTATACGACTCCCACCATCTCCTTTCTCTGAGAGCGGAAAAGTTGAAAGCTATGTGCAATAAGCGACCCGAGGAGCCTGCACCATTCTGCTCTTTACCCTGAGTCCACGAGCTGTACCCAGTCCCATTCTTGAGGTCTGTTGGCAACCTATGGTACCGTTCCAGACCATTTAAACATATTTTGTCGAAACGCTTAAAAACACATAGACCATGACACGCTCAGATTTCGTATATGCTCTTTGCCTTCTTATCGGGAGTCACTCTTATATGAAGAGTTAGTTATTCCATATTCGTTCAGTTCGTCGATGGCTCTTATTTGGTTAAAAAAAAAACGTTAGTTGTTCAGTGCGTTAGCGAAGAACATTAGTCACATAGATAAGGCAACGGTATTAGCCTCATTCCTCGGAAAAAACAGGAGAATGTAGATATAGTTAGGCTGATATTTCAGCAACATGCCTTTATCGAAACAATAGCAGAAGTGAATTCAAAATTGCCTGCCGATGATCCCACTCGAGGGAAGGTAGGCCCACCGGTCGTACACAATGGGATAATTTAATCACAAAGGCAGCCATCCTCCGCGCTCGGGACTTGCCAAGGCCCCATGTTTGAGCTTGATCCACGGCTGGATGTGCTATCTTCGACCGCAAAAAAGCGGCCAAGGACCTCAACCGCCAGAGCAGCTGAGTGCATCATAAAATTCCAACCGGTGGCAGGTCAAACGTGGGGGATGGCGTCAAACATGCGGGCCTCATCGAGACCATGTCCCCTTTTGGAAACCACAAAAACAAATGCTGGCTGTTTCACATTCTTGTCACGTTGAACAAAACAAAACAAAAAACTGACAAATAAAAAAACAACAAAACGCTATTAATTGCGGCTACAGCCAACTTTAGAAGACTGTGACATGCTCTGACGAACCGTAGGTACCAGAAATCCCGCACTCAGGCTTAATGATTTCCTGACGTTTGAACAATAAAATGATTCGTATTTCCACTAACGCGACACAAACGAGCTATCGCCGATCCTAGTCGTCTCTATTTCCATTTGCATACCGAAGCTTAACACGCGCCCCGGCGGCCGGCTAGATACCCTTCGCTCGGGTGGGGTGGGGTCAATTTGACCCCCCTAAGATCTCGGGAACTAAGAAAGCTATAGACACCAAATTTACAGGGTGTGTTGACCTGTACGTGAACTCACATAGGTTAGCGTTTCAGGTTCCTAGGTTATTACCTTCGGGTCAAAAAGGTCAAACAAGGTCAAGTTCCAGGTTGGTATCTTAAGTGCCCCCAGAAGCTAGGCAACCGTCAAAGTCAGGGACCTTGTTTGACCTTTTGAAGGCCAATGTGACCAAAATCATGCAATATCGCTTTGAGTTTTGCATTTGACTAAGCGACAAAGATTACGCTAGGCTGTATGTTTCTAAAACAAAACGTTGACCTGGGTCATTTTAGGTCAATGATTTATTCTGACCTCTAAGAAGTACATGGAACATGTACAATTCGGTTCCAGCTATCAATAAATCAGAAATGAGCACCAGAAACTATCCCATACAATAAGCCCTAGAGTAACAAAACAAGTTGGTTTTGACCTAGGTGCGACCTTTATATCTGACCTTAGGTCAATGTAATTCACTCATTCAGCTGTTGTGTTGCCTAAGAAAGCATCTCAGAGATGTATGACTTCGTCTAACACTCCGTCGTTAGATGAGATTGAAGGATTCCCTAGAAATTGGCTTTGCTTAAACCACGGTCTGACTTCTGGAATGCCATAAGTCAGTGATCTTAAAAGGTACACCCGGATTTTTTTATTCCAAATGATTTGCTATTCAAATGTCTACAGCTATGCAAAATCTTCCGCGGCTACGCTGCGCTGTTCGGAAACCATTCTGTAATAACCTTCGGGGGGGGGGGGGGCAGTTTGCCCCCCACCCGACCGCGTGTTAACAGTTCGTTTGTTGATTTGGACGAACCGAAGGCGCGAAATTTTGTGTGTTTTTTGAAATCATGTGTCTGTCTCTATTTAAACCACAGCCTGAAGATGTTTTTTTCTCAAATTTTACGAAAATAAAGCCGTACATAAGTTCGTAACTGAACACTGGCATGCATTGCCCTGTTGGGCCGCACTTCAATGTGCTTTCCGCTCAGAATGTGTCAAGGTTTCGCCTAATACATGTTTAGGAGCAGCTCCATTTTAAAGAGCAAAATTAAATCAAAGCTATTGAAAATATGATTTGATCCCAGTGTTAATCCTTAGGGTGTTAGGTGGGGTCGACAGCAAGAGCTCTATCTGACTGCACTCGGACTTTGCTGGCCGATCCAGGATCTTTCGGTACACTTTCATGCGGGTGGGACTCCTTAACAGGGTCATCTATAAGATTTAACCGCTTTTGAAAGAGAATGAGGTGCTCTTTGGTAGCAAGGTGGCCTTTGGGAGGGAAAATGGCGCTGTGCAGTTAAAAAAAGAGTATACAGAGGGTCATGCGGATATAAATGGCGTTGAGCTGTTATGAGGCCCTGAGGGAGCCCAGGGCCCAGAGAACTCGGACACGATCACAGTAGTCAGAGGTCTCCTGAGTGGCCCAAAGGCGGTCCCGCAGTTGCCTGGCAAGCTCCAAGGCATCCATCACCCCCCCCCCCCCCCTTTAAGGCAGGTGTGCAAGAGTCCTTTAATTATAGATATATGTTCTGGCGGCCAAATGGGTCACTGCGTGGCTGGTGGGCTATCACCATCCAAAGGAACACTCCGATGGCCAGAGGGGCCCACAAGCGATCTAAAGCTCTCCTTCGTAATCAGGGGTCCGGGTGACCAGGTAAGCTCCTAAGCTGTCAGAGGGACCCCACCCACAAGATGCTCCTCAATAGCCAGAGGGGGTCATAGAAAATACACTGCCTTGTCGCCGACCTGCCACCGAAGTGAGCTACCAACCAAAAACCAAAGGATATTCTGTCGCCGAGATGGAATGGAGCCTTTTGGTCACTGTCATTCTGGTTAAAAAAGTAGAACAGGTGCGCACCGTTGGGCATAGTTTTCGCTGTGATGGGTGCGAGCGCGCGCCCTGCACGCTCTGCGTTGGCGGTGCGAGGAACTTTCGAGGAGCAAGGGGCTTTCTCTCTTATAAGCAGGCGGTGCACATGCTATGCGTAAGCCAAACCATTTGGTGCAATATCTGCTGAACATCCGCAATATTGTATTGGCCTTCGTACTCCAGTGCAAGTCTTGGCATTGAGACATAAGCGTCTCCAGTATCCCAAGTTTCACTGTATGCAGTGACTAAGGATTGTGTTTTGTCCATATTCGGCCCTAGCATGTGCGCATGTTATACGCTTTGATACGTTCCCTGCTTGTCTGAACGCTCGCAGTTTCGCCTTATTTGTGATGCGTCTGTTTTGGCTGCGGTTGTTAATCTTACAGGCACGCTGCCATATCATGAACCGCTTAATCCAACAAAAGTTGCAGACTCACCTCAGCGGCATTGCCTCCGGTTCAGGAGGCCGCCAAGCCGCGGCTCGCCCGCCGCGCTTTGTCTCCGTTACCTCACATGAGACAAAAGGCGATGCCCGGCGACTCGAGCCGAACCCGGCCGCGTGCCATGCGTTGGACGGGCCTGAGGCATATTGGGACTGGCAGGGTTACTGGCCTAGACCAGTCCGGACCGGACCGGGCGCTCCGGGCGGGACACGTGGAGTGGATGGAGTGGCTGCTGGGATGGAGCGCTGGTGGGCCGCTGGGCGCGGAAGACTCCGGCACCGCCTCAGGATGACCAGCACCGACCCCGAGCGGTAGAGACAGCGTCACGCCGAGGGTAGTGGTACGATGGGACACGACTGCTGCGTGATGTCAGAGCTCCTTTTACAATAGCCAGATTACAACAGGAGCCCCGCCCGGACCACTGACTGGCGCCCGGACCACTGACTGGCGGCTGGACCACTGACCGGTCCACTGACCGGATCACTGACCGGTCCACTGACCGGACCACTGACTGGCGGCTGGACCACTGACCGGTCCACTGACTGGCGCCCCGGACCACTGACTGGCGCCCGGACCACTGACTGGCGGCTGGACCACTGACCGGTCCACTGACTGGCGGCTGGACCACTGACTGGCGCCCGGACCACTGACCGATCCACTGACTGGCGCCCGGGCCACTGACTGGCGCCCGGACCACACTCTAGACAGCCAGAGTAAGGTCAACGGCAGATGGGAGATCTGGCCGAGACACAAACTTGCCAAGCTGGTCATTTTCCGTGCCCCTCGCCGCGTTACCGGGGACGAGCACTGGCCTTGAATGGCTCTGGAAGGCCAGCCTGACTCGCAGCTAATCACAGCATGATTTCTCTGAGAAAACTTACGTTCTGAGGACAACTGGACATTGTTTGGCGGTGGCAGCGGCCCCGCTGAAGGTCAGGTCACGTCAGAAGGCAGGGCCGTGTCGAGCATTTCGGCGCGTTAAGCCTTCGGCGTGGAAATCCGCCTATGACCAGGGATTTACGATCGAGAGGTGGGGTCATGGCTCATGCAGCTGCTGGAATCCGTTCAATTATAATGTCCGGACTAAATCATAAAAATATATAATGGAAGCGTACAAGCATTAATTGCATTGGTTTTTGCCAGTAGTTCTACGGGCGTTGATGGGTTCAAATCTCCAACCGCCTGTTGGCGAACTTATGGATCCTTTTGGCGAGCGCATCGAAAGCGGGTACGACCCGCGACCCGGAATTCACGAAGCTGGACATAAAAAGTGATATCGCCATTATGCGGTCATTTGGTGTCATCGTTTACAGGTTCCTTGTGTCCGCATGATTGGTTTCTGCCGAGTTCCGCATGCTTCTCCGCATGTCCGATGAGCTGGACAAGCTTGTTTCGTAACCTTTATACTTCCGCCCTTACTGAATTCCATCTACCGAGGTGAACCTTCGATGATCCCGTGCAGACCAGATTGGAAGTCAGCAAATGC